ATGCTTCAATAGCTTTGAATTTCAGCAAAAAGTTGGATAAGTTGGAAATGCATACTAGCCCACTACTATTTCTGCCATAGAAAGATATGATATAAGTAGTATGCTAGTAAGCTAAACGAGTAGTATGCTAGTATGCGGTTCCGAATTCAGCCTGCCAGTTTCAGTACTTGATTTAGTATTCTGATTTTCTGATTTAGTGATTTAATCATTGTTTGTGTCATCAACGCTTCTTGTGGAAGTCTCAGATGCAATTTTCTTATATTAAAAAAAATAAATATTGCTGCATATATTTACTTATTTATTTATGGGAAACATGGCATGATTATTTCAGATTGCATTTTAGTTCTTTCTTTTTTTATTTGTTTTTTTGATATTTTTAATCTGCTTGGCAGCAATTGTGAGAAATAAATCTTTTCTGGAGCAAAAGTACATTTTACATATTATTGTGTGATATTGTGAAATAATATAAATAATATTTTTACATACATATAATATTGTATATTCATAAAAATGAGATTTGCCACAAGTTTTTTTTTTTTTTTTTTATGGAATAATTTTACTACATTTGACTAATTCTCTTAAAAATCATTATTTGCTAAATTATAATTATGACAAAATAAAAGTTATGACAAAAGATTATATTTTATGCATGCATGTAATTTCCAACTTTTTTCATGTCATAATTACCAAACAGAAAAATGAGCTTCCATACTTTAGTTTACCGGATATACATTTTTGCACCAGTTTCTCCCCTTGTACAGAGTATAAGCCTATAACCATATATTATACACTTTTTCCCCCCTTTATTAGTAACACCTACTGCATATTGCCTACTTTTAAAATATAATGTTAAACTACGGTATAGTATATGCAGTATGCAATGATAAATAGTTCAAACAATCATATGCTACAGTGTTTATCATGACCTCCGTTGCATGCTTAATTCAGCCCTGTATTGCATTGTCGGATACAGGGTCATACTATGGTCTAGTGCACATTTTTAGCAAATGTAGAACATCATTTGGTCTTAAAAAAAAAAAAAAAACAGTGGGTAGAACAGCATTCTGAACATTCTCATTCAATGAATGTGTTTGAAATGATATTTTGTTCCTGTACTGTTGCTAAACTGGAGTAAACACTTAATCCTGTTCTGCCCACTGTTCCAAATCACCCAGGGCTCACCATGCCTCATTGCAATCAAACGCATAAACAGCACACAGATATGTGATATTTTATCGTTCCACAGTGTATGGCATATTATTTAATTTCAGTCTTTATTCTGATTGAACAAGTGTGCAAAGTTCCATTAGTTTTTGTATCAGTGACTATGGCGTATTATGTGTGTAACTGCAGGAGATGTTCACAGGCAATAGCACAATATAGACCTGACACTAACATTCCGGCTTTTTTGATGGCATCACTTGATGCTTGCCTATTGTTTTATGACATACTTTCTTAGCTCTGCCTCCATATCCCCTGTGATTCTTTATACGGCGTGTTGACAAAGAGAATTTCAAATCACAACGAAAGCATTTATAGCTTCAGCGATTTAATAAGAGAAGTGTTTGTGACTTTGAGTGTGCATGTGTCAGGTTTTATGGGAACTCTTGGAAATGGTGCAATGCTCTATTCCTGGAGGTAACCTGTAGTCATCTCTGCTTTCTGGAAAATACGACAGGCAGCTATAATGAAATCATGATGCTGTTTTATATTGCAGTGGTTTTTTGTTGTGTACATACAATTATTAGATTTCTTTATGCAATGTTGCATCCAAACTGATGGGTCAACAAGTGATTTTAACAGAGCCTGACAGTACATCCGCTTGAAATAACATTATGATTTCAGTCTAGCTGCAAAAGCAAAATATACTTTTTTTTTGTTTGTTTGTTTTTAATACTTTATTCTACAAGGACACATTAATTTACTTAAAAGTAAAAGTAAAGATATTTATATGGTTACAAAATATTTATATTTCAAGTGCATGTTGTTCTTTTGATCTTTATATTCACCCAAAAAAAAACAAAAAATCCTGAAAAACGTATCCACAAAAATATTAAGCAGCAAAACTGTTTTCAACATTGATAAACCATTAATATATAAGAGCCAATAATAACTGAGTACCAAATCAGCATATTAGAATGATTTCTAATCAATGGCTTTTGAAAATTCAGTTTTGCATCATAGGAATAAATTACACTGAAAACATATAAAAAAAAAAAATAATAATAATATATATATTTTTATTTATTTTTATTTTTTTATCAAATATATGTCTTGGTGAGCATACTTTTAAAAATCTGGGCTAAACTGTTGGCTTTTTGTACACGGCTTCAAAAGCAAGTAAAACCCTTTCATTTACTCAAACACTATGATGAAATCCTTTATTCCTCAGAAAAATAACTTAAGTGATTAAATCCTGAAAATAAACACTGCTGTCGCTCCTAAAACATGGCAGTGCGCACTTGATAGATGACATCTAGGATGTATTGTTGAGAAGTGGGGATTCCTGGCTGTGTTATTGTCATGCATGCTGTGTGCATTTAGAGGGAAACATATGGACACAGTTAGCGCTCCCCACCCTCATATATCTCCACTAACACTTCCAGAGATCAGCGCAGTGCGGTTTCGGTAATATTACACCAGCACACTGTCCCGTACAGGGAACTGACATGCAAGAAAACAACCAAATAAAGGATTTCAAGAAGAAAAAAAAAGGTATTCACTTCCTTCCTGTAACATGAGGCTGTCAAGTATACCCCTACTTCCAGGAAGCATGGCGAAAGCAAACCCTCCCAAAGAAATGCAATTTTCATGTTACTAATAAGCATTTTTTGTTGACATATTTTTTATCTACATAATCATGAAGGTCTCTAGAATCATCCAAACAAAACAAATCTTACAGGAGATCTATAGTTTTTTGCATACTTAGTCAAAAGTCCAAGCGGCAACTATAGTTTCCACAGCTCTACTGCCCCACCTCTGTGTCTGCTTTTGCCATGGGGGAATACTATGGGCCTAAAAAAAAAAATTATAATTTTCTTTCAGGTATACCTTTTTTATTATATAGATGTAATATTTTCTTCATTCTATTTATTTTTATTTATTTATTTTCATTTAACTAACACCTCTAAGAATGAAAATGCCTGCATGTTCAATAACAAGTAAATAAATAAACAAACAATCATGGGTGTAGCCTACACACGATAATTATTTAAATAATCATATATTTAAAAAAACAATATCATTAATTTCATGAATATTAAGGACTTTTGTCAGGGTTAATCCATTTGACCTAATCAATATGTGCCTATTCATAAAAAAATGTGATATTTTATATATTTTCATCACAAAGTATAGCATGCAAATATGTTTATGTAAATTTATAAAACTACTTGCACCTTCACTGCTTACGTAAGGGAAAG